TACTGTCGACGTCGACCGCCCGGAATCTCTGCCACGTGACTACTCGGAAAAAACAATCGATCATCGTCGATTAATATTGTGTTGGGCGTCCCCGCATATCCCACACATGTTCGATGGGATTTAAATCCGGTGAACGGTGACCACGGCAAAACATCAACGCCTGCTTTTTGAAGAGAGTCGACGAGCAATATGGGGACATGCCTCTCAACAACAAATCCAATAGCACGCCTTCTACGACCATCGTGCGTAACTAGACGGAATCCAGATTCGTCGCTGAAGATGACATTACGCCATTCTGCCTCCCAATGTTGCCGTTCTTTGCTTTAGTTCAAACACTGACCACAGTGCAGTGATCCGCAGTCAGAGGAAGCACTAACCGTGCAAAGATGCGAATATGGCGATAGAGTGTACGAATAATAGTAACAAGTCTACCTTCTCCAAACCGAAGTAGCAAAACGGTCTCGTACTGGCTTTACGCTCTGTGGTACGCCTCGGTGGCCGTCTTCGTGTTCCTCTACCTTCTTCTATCCACACACGACACACACGCATAAAGATCTGGGCGTCAGTCCAAATGTTACAAAACATGCCATATTTTAATAGGGAGGATTTTTGTGTTGAACAGTGTAATCGATTCGTATTCAACGGTACACAAAAAAACCACAGGATGTATATTTCCAGCTTAGTGAATCAGACTCTTTGTCTTCCTTTATGGGGATCGGTATCGGCGTAAAAAGTTACGACCAGTATTGAAACAAGGGCTGATTTCATCGAAATTAAACAAGAACACATTTATTTCATCTAAAAGCTTCTGACAAATATTTTGTTGAGCTATTATTAAAAATCAGCAAAACTAAAGAGTTCTTTTTTCATAAATACCATTACGAGACCAACCAGTATTTATGAACTTACTTATCAGCCAGAAAAAACTCAAATCGCTTAGACCTGCAATTTCCCTTAGCTAATTCAACAAACTTCACTACCCCCGTTAGCTGAACATAAACACGTGCGCAACGGAAAAACTTCTATTCCATATAAGAAAACTTCAAAATCCGTTGTCTAGGTTAACACAGCACGCCTTTTATCCCGTATCATTCTGTACAACGTCGGACAGGTAACTCGATACACATCTCACAGCCTCAAATAAGATTTAGAAAGTTTTCAGTGCAGCAGCGACTTACTTGAAACCCTTGTCGTCGTCGACGACCTGTCCGCCGTTCTGAACCACTTGTTGTTGCTGTTGCGATTGCTGACCGTTGCATTCTTCTTTCGGACTCTGTTTGCCGTCTTTGCTGTCTTTATCGTCTGGACCTGTAACAATAAAACGTGCACTAAAGTATACTGACTAAGCACTCTGTTCTGTTCTGGTTTTAATTTGTAATAACGTACATAGTAGTAAAGTGATGGGCACACCGTTTTCTGGTGTGTACTCAAGTATTGTTAACATGTTTGGCATAATCCTAGGATACTAACCTCCCTGCGATCCGCCCACACTCCCACCGGCCGCTCCTCCAGCTCCGCCCAAATGTAGTCCACGCATGCGCGGCTCAAGCCCAGCTGCGGCCGCGGCAGCCGCTGCCGATGACCCGTCCTTTAATGTAGGAGAGGTGCCAAGCACATATTCTACCATTTTAACGCCCAGGCCGCCGCCGTTGTCGCTACCGCGCGGCGATAGGATCCCCGCCGAGGGCGTGGCTGAAGGGTCTCCGCCCCCCGGGCCGACTCCGCCTCCTGCAGTACCGGCACCGCCTCCGGCTCCACCACCAGTGCTGCGACGCATCGGCAGTGGCGCTGACACTCCATGGTCGCCTGTAACAAAAAAAAGAGATATTGTAGATGGTATGTAAAGATACGAGGGTTGTCCCAAAAATAATGTCCAATACGCTAAATGCCTGCTAGATAAAACATGGCAACACCGTGTGTTCACAAGCTCATGGATGGCAAAAAATTGCTTCGAATTCAACACTCGACAGATATCATTAAAGAGATCAAAAAAGACAAAAACTTTCTGTACAATATTGTGACTGGAGACGAAACGTGGCGTTTTCAATACGAGCCCGAAACCAAGAGTCAAAGTGCCGAATGGAAGCATCCAAGCCGTTTAGGAAAGTCCAAAGTGAAGACAATTTTGATTTCTTTATGCGATCGGAAGGGGATTCTTCACAAAGACGAAAATGTAGGCAAATAAATCAAAATTATGCACTAATAACAACGTAATGTAAACATGTAAGCTAGCCGCTCTTAATCTATTCGAATTCTTTGATCTTTGCAGACGTCATACTGTACAAAACTCGACTGATATCTATCTCCATTATTTCCTATCCTGCGGTTCTCTTTTTCGCGCTCTTCTATATTACAAACTTTTCTGAAAGGCAGCAGCTCGCTATTCCTCTACAAAGAAGCTGTGATGGTGATGCTCTCTTTTTTCAAACCACGACATCCATCATTTCATACAATTCGGCCGCTACCGGCGTGCCGCAGCTCGTCGCACTGCAGCGCTTACGTGGTCGGATACGGCAGGACGGTGATGGTTGAAAAGAAGCGCAGGCACTTCAAGGTTTCCACCGAACTAACGATATACAAGGTGGTGCCTTTAAATCGGTCAGTGTAAAGACCTCGCAGTCCCATTATTTGAATTTTTCAGGATGCAATTAAAAATGTGTCACTGACAAATAAATCAGTTTTCTGTGGTTAATGGAGTACATAATTTCTAAAAGATTTAAATTTCGATTAAATTACGAGGTATGTTCAAAAATTATCACAAATTTAGAATTTTCGCGGGCTACGTAGGTTCTATTTTTGATATTAATTTGTCTACATACTTTTGTCCATTACTGTATATCATTCCCGAAATAGGTACAGATATATACGGTGTCCCATTTAAAAAACGAAAGTTGGAGTCGTTTCCAGTCAAACCGGAAGTACGTCCAGCAAGCGAATAGGTAAAAAAATGTAAATTCATCTATAATAGGCAACCTCCAAATCCTCACCGAAGATATACTTTGACAGGAACATGCAGCCTCAACTGAAACAGACCTTCTTTATCGTGCAGAAAACGAGGTCATTAAAATACAGGGTGTCCGCAAAATTGGGGTTTTCCTTTACACGACGTGTAGATCTTGAAAACATAAGCAATTTTTCTTAGTACCATATACACCAATGTCTTAAGGGAACCGAGATAAAGGGCTCTGCAACATCAAAAATATCTGAGTACCGTCCTGTAGCCGCGACCCGCCGGGATATCCCCGAGTGGTACTCGGACACTAGCTCAACCCGACGACAGAACTGGGTCGGGGTCAGTGTGTCAGGTCAGTACCGACGGTTACGGTCACGCCTGTAGAGGTAATTGCGTAGACGAGAATCCCTCAACAAGCACTAGAGACGTGGCTAGAGAAGTGCAAGTATCAAAAACCAAAGTGTGGCAAACGCTGCGTGAACAGGGGCTGTATCCGTTTCACGTCCAACGTGTACAAGCCCTTCAACCTGACGATTTTCCAGCAAGAGTGCGGTTTTGTGAGTGGTTGTTGCATCAACATGACAATAATCCGGACTTTTTGAAGTGCATATTGGTGACAGACGAATCTACGTTCACGCGTAATGGGGTGAATAACTTTCGCAACACTCATGTTTGGTCAGTAGAAAATCCGCACGCTGTCCGTCGGGCACATTTTCAACAAACATTTTCGGTGAATGTTTGGGCTGGCATGGTGAACCTAGACCTACACTTTTTACGCAACATTTTGCCTTCCTTGTTTGCCTGCGTCTGCTCGGTAGCGCATCAGCTGTTTTCTGTTGGAGCGGTATGATTTCGGGCAGAGACGTACTTAGCCCTTCTCGTCAACTGGAGAGTGAGTACTTTTTCCTTTATTTTTTTTTTTACTTGGTCGCCCTCGTTTCACTACACATTACCTTTGTTATTTCAAGGGTAGTTGTTTCTGAAAAGGAAAACCCCAACTTTGCGGACACCCTGTATAACAGTTATGTTGGCCTGAAACCCATCCTTGGACACTCGCGTGGCCATCCCAATACGAAGAAACAAAACCGTCAACTACGATGAATATCTAAAAAAAAAAAAATAACCACATGTTTGCAAAGCTCCTTCGGGATGCCATTAGATCGAAGAAAATGATAGCGAACTGCATGGTTAAAGATCTTTAGTTTTATGAACCTAGGATCTGGAATACGTTTTACTTTCTCTAGGAAATTATTGTTAGGTCAAAACATTGGAAAACTCTTCAATTCCCTTCGAAATATAATTGCACGTGCGCCACTGGTCGCTTGATAGACGCGTCATTTATATCCGCAGAAGTGAATACGATGTAAGGTGAATGTGTGGAGATGAAAAAGAAACGCCACGTTGAAGAATATCGTCAGTGCAGAATGGGAATCTAGTCACATACCAGAAAGAAGATTGATGTATTAGATTACGTTTTGCTGGAGATAATAGTTTAGTAGTGGGACGCTAGAGATGAGAGCCAATTTTTACAGGGTAATGGATAGTTACGTGTCGTGAGATCACGGACGAAAACATTAACAAATCTATAAGGGTGAATATCAGTTATTCGGGAATTCAATGTTCCTGCAAAAAATCTTAATCCAATGGACAAATTGTGGAAATAGACCATTCAAATAGTGGAAGATGTCAATCTTTATTTGGAACATATGGCGCAATTGAGGTAACCATTAAGATTTAGGAAAAATCTGATTGAAAGTTAACAAAATGTATACTCCCCTGGCATGTTCCATTCCCAAATTTTACTTCAAACATCAACAAATCTCTATATTATGTACTGGTATAACAATAAGCGGATACTCTTTGTATTACCTAATACATCTGATAACATATTTTCGCAAAAAGGCACACTAAAAATATACATAAATGCGTAAAAAATCCCGTTTATTAGTGGTTCCTGAAAACAGTGTCACCCTCACCTGGCGCAATTCAAATTGCATATATTCATCAAAACATGGCAACTATGCGACTTTACCTTGAGCAGCAAGTAGCAAATGAAGAAGGGATAGTGCAAAACTATCGTAATTTGGAAAACGAAGACCAGGGACGCGTCAGTAGCCCACTAACAGTCGTCCGATACCCTTTTGCCAGTGAGTGAAGCATTTCCCCTGGTAAGCATATCTTTGTGAATTTAAAAATTACATTTTTGCGACTCTATAAAAAATTAAGATTTTTGAATACAAAAGCCACGAATCACGTTAAAATAATATAATAATCAACATATCTTGCTTTTTTGGGGCTTACGCACGTTTTTGTCACTTCCCTGGCGTCACTCCCCTGGCATTTTTTATGTCAGGGGAAATACACACTGCCCAGGGGAAATACAAAGGCACCTTTTTGTATAAGATGTGTAGCTACTATACCAAATTCAACTTCAAGAGGCAGTAGATCTGAAATAGGTCAGGCATGAGGGGCCGGGCCAGACACGGCCAGACGCCTAGGGCCGTATTCAGTGATCAAACGCTCATTGTCAGTACCAATCTGTTACATCAATCAGCGGGTTGCACCTAAGAAGTTGCCTGGCCCAGTTTAGGGCTCTGAGCGGCCTGCTTCCTGCTCTTGAAGTTGAATGTGGTATAGACACTATTTCATTAATTTCAGGTACCAAAAAAAACATAACTCGCTAAAATGGCAAAATTATAAAAAAGCAAACCCGAGAGTAAAGATTGGAGAAAAAACGCCAAGCAGAAAGACCACGCGACCAGCGAATTAAAAATGATCCAATCAAGAATGCTGAGTTTTAAAAAAAGGAAAAAGAGAATAGGGAACAGCGAGCTATGAGAAAGATATGGAGAGAGCAAACTGAAAGATATAGGGATCGTGTGAGGCAAAAAACTATTGTTAATTATCCAGAGTCACCGCCGCCTTCGGACCATGAAGATCCACACTTCGATCCTCAAATATTGAACAATAGAGCTTCAGGTGCCAATAGACCCTCAGAAAAACAGAGGAAACGGATAAATGAGCTTATCAAAAAACAAAAAAAACGAAATTGATCGATTAAAAAACAAGGTGAAGAGATTTCAAAGGAAACTAGATCACGTAAGAAGTCTAAAAATGTCACCAAAGTCGAAAGTGGACCGATTACTAAAAAAAAAAAAACGAAACCAAGTAATCAGGAGAACGTGGAAGAAGCATCTGTCATTCAGTAAGCTAGTTCAAAATCAACTAAAAGAAAATATAAAGCATACCAAAAAGAAAAATGAGAAGACACGTAAAGTATTGAGTGGTAGGTTTGTTAGAAAGTACAATGTTTTGAGTCAAATTGATATGAAGCCTGTGAAACGATAACCCACTGTGGGAGAGGTTTGATAGACGTGACAAGCAGAACAAGAATGAATGAAACTAGAGAGAAGATAAAGAACGTAATTAAATTTTTTTTGAAGGAGACTGCAACAGTCGCTTATGCGCAGGAAAAAATGACTACATTACGAAAAACAAAGTAAAAAACAAAAGAGGGTTTTACTAGACTCAATAAAGCATTTACATGAACGGTTCGTTAAAAACAAAGGAGTGCCGATAAGTTATACTTCATTTTGACGTTTGAGACCTTTTTGGATTGTATATCCAAACGTTCGTAGAAGAGAAACATGCTTGTGTGTAATTCACGCAAATATGGAGTTGATTTTGCTCTCTTTAAGAAGAAAGAAAATTATAGGCTTTATGGGTTTTCAAGCAATGCTAAATTACTATCTATCGCATGACATTTCCGACATAAATTTGGAAAAGTATTAGAAAGACTGCCGGTGCCAAATATAGTAATGAGAGGAAATAGATTATTTTATAAATTCACACTCCTATACCTGTATTCGAAAAATGAGTATCTACTCGAATTCATAAAAAATCGGGTTATACCTATGTTAATTTTATTTTTATGCTAGCTACCATTTTTTATTTATAAGCACTGATTGCGATTCAAAGACTGACCATAAGTATTATGTCAATTTTTTGTTTTAAGTTTTTATAATTTTATTTCTATTATTATTATTATTATTATTATTATTATTATTATTATTATTATTATTATTATTATTATTACTCAGGTACCTACATTGCTATCTATATTAAGTTGAAAGATATAAACAGCTATAGTGGTTTTTATTTATATTAGTTCTTGTGTGAGCAGGTTTCACTCAGTTGATCCAAATGTTATTTTTTAAGAGACTAATAGAACATGTAGGATTTTGTTATTTTCAATAACTTATTTACCTATTGGTATTTATATTCTTTTATAAAGTGTCCTTTAAGATCATTCACATGAGAAGTTGTCAGTCTTCTGTCTCAGTTTGTCACTACCCTGTGTATAGTGTCACTCCCCTGACTACACATTTTCCCCTGGTAGCTGTAAAAACTCTAAAAATCAAAAAACTATCTGGTCCTGTCAAAGATGCATCACAAATAGTATAATCTTAAGAGGTAATGAATATGAAACTGAAATGAGTAATTTTTCTTAGGTACCACTAAAAACCCAAATACCTGATATTCACCCATAAATCAATTTGTACGACTGGTGCCGAAAAAGTGAGTGAGAGGCAATTTCGCACGTACATCAAAAAAAATGTCTAGCTTTAGGATTCTTCGATCATTGACTAGACAAGTTCATCGTAGTTACTTATAGGCGGCTATGGGATGAGTGAAAGTACCGCCAAAAATTCTATACTCTGGGCGCTGAAGAAAGACATTAAACGTAAACAGTGATCAGCACGTGAACAGATCCCTCGAAAGCATCCACGGATATACTCCAGTCACTTTAGGTCTAAACATCCTCGGCAGTGTATTTCTAGTGAATCCACAGACCCTTTTTCGTGTCATCTTGAGACTAGAAAAAGGATGACTGTTAAAATAAGTTACCTTGATCTTTCATGAGCTCCCAGTACAAAACATCATCGATATATTTTTGATGTAGGAACAACAAATTGGTTTAGAAAACATCCACTTTGAACCTAAATTGACTGGAGTAACATCGATCTACAGACAAATTCAAGGTCACTAGCAGTCGTCGGCGCTCTACGAATCTGCACAGGTTTGGACTTGTAAACGTGATTGTAGATGACACGACAGGCATCTAACAGTTAATTCACGCACAGGATTGCATTGCATACGCATTACGCATTCAGTAGCGTATACTCGTTTTTCGCGAGTGGAACGTTTTGTTTATATATTGCCTAAGATACGATGTCTGACACAGATACAGCCGACGAAGTGGTTGACATCAGCGCAACCCCACCCAAAAAAAGGGCTAAGAAGCTACATTTAAGTGCAAATGAAAAACAAATAATATTAAATATATACAAAAACCAAATTCAAGAAAAACCCGATTTGGTCGTGGACGAAGTTATATGTAAGGTAGCACATATTTCTGGAGTATGTCGGTCCAGTGTTTATAGGATCATTAAGGAATATAGGAGCACTCACTCACTTTCTGAGCCAAAACCGTATCCTGCAAAAAAAAAGGATAACGGACGGAGTAGATGACTTTGACAGAACTGCCATCAGGAGGAAAGTGCATAATTTTTTCTTCCGAAATGAGATACCTACAGTAGATAAGATATTAAGATTAGTTAATGCTGCTGAGGATCTTCCATCATTTAAAAGAACCACATTCCGAAAACTTTTGAAGGAACTTAATTTTCGATTCTTGAAACGGGGAAGAAACAGTATGTTAATAGAGAAAGAAGAAATTGTTGTGTGGAGAAGGGAATACCTTAGGAAGATTCGGAAGTTTCGCGATGAAAAAAGAAAAATTTACTATTTGGACGAAACGTGGGTGAATGCTGGACATACTCAAGCGAAAGTTTGGGTCGACAAATCAGTAACATCATCAAGGCAGGCTTTTCTAGACGGTCTTTCGGCTGGATTGAAAAATCCTGCAGGTAAGCTCCTTCATCTATCCGGCAATTTAATTTTGATAAATTCAGGCAAATAATATGCTGTGATAGCAGATAATGTGTGATATTCTCCAAATATGGTGCATTCGCAGTGTAGTCATTAGGAAAAAAACTTCGACCCTCTTTTAAGCGTTATTTTGAAATTTATTATCATTTTTGGGTGCAGTCAATTTGCTTTGAATGGGTTTTGAGAAGTTGCAAACTTCAATTTTCTACGTTTTTCAGTTTTTGATCAGCATTCCGTGACTCTTAAATTCAGCTAAATGAACTCAATTGCCTCATTCCTTCAAATTTAATCAATCCATAGTGTAAGGAATAATTTATTTCCAGGAAAAGGCAAACGGCTGATCATTTGTCACGTAGGTAGTGAAGACGACTTTGTTCCCGAAGCACTGTGGGCCTTTGAATCAAAAAAGACAGGGGACTATCATGAGGAGATGGACGGCAATTCCTTTGAAAATTGGTTCTCCAAAATGTTACTAAAGCTGGAGAATAACGCTGTTATTGTACTGGATAATGCCCCGTACCATTCTAGAAAAATAGAAAAAATTCCCACAATGGCAACTAAAAAAGCAAACATACAACAATGGCTGGCCTCAAAATAGATCGATTTTGATGAAACAATGGTCAAGGGTGAATTGATAAGTATAGTCAATAGACATAAATACAAATACGATTTTAAAATGATCGACGAAATGGCCAAAAAACAAAATAAAACTGTCTTCAGACTGCCACCCTACCATTGTGAGCTGAACCCTATTGAGCTGATTTGGGCCAACATAAAGCAATACGTGGCGTCGAATAATAATACTTATAAATTTTCTGATGTTAAAAATCTCTTTCACATCGCAGTCAATAGAGTTACGGCAGAGGAATGGAAAAACTGTATCCGCCACGTTCGGGAGAAGGTTGAGGTCAAAATGTGGGATTTGGACAATGTCATCGACACCCAAATTGAACCTCTAATAATTCATTTAAACGATTCAGAAGATTCAAGTTCCTCTTCTGAATGAGTGCGCGCAGCTTACTTACTAATAACTAAAAAGTGTAGTTAACTCATTTGTGAATCTCTAACTGAAATTTACTGTAAAAGATAATAATTATCTTGTATGAAATTTTTGATGACTACCCATAATATCTTGATGCGGTCCTGTAATGTCTCCTGCGCCTAAACACTCACTCACGAGCAATATGCGTGTATTTGTTTGGGTTTAGTTTCTTTCTTCAGCGCCTAGAGAATAGGCTCCACTTGTGCACGAGGTTTTTGCAGATGTCGAACTGATAGTCATACCCACTAGCAGCATACTGATGATAATAATAACTAGATTGTTATTATGACTATGGGTATAGTCCGGTACCGTTTGGTCTATAGAATATAGAAATTCTGAATCTATTCGAAAATGTTTATGTTCACGCGTAAAAACGGACAATGCTATTCGGTATGATCCAATATCGGATGAAGCGATCGTCATAAAGCCGAAAATGGCACGCTTTGGACGTTCTGCTTGCACGCGCTCGCTTTCGTAATACGATCATACCTACAATACCCCGCCTAACAGGAATCGCGAATCTCGAGCGAAAATCATAATACAAACTTCAAACTAAAAATATCTGCATATCTTTGAATTTTCTAATTTGCCGAGTTTAAAAAATGCGATCGGGTAACGTGTCGTATATCAGGTTAATCAAGAGACTTTGGTCTTTCGTTTTGCGAAACAAAATCGTAGCTATGTCGATCCGTAACGAAGGTCTGTACCGAAGGCTGTCATCGGTACTTTTGAGGCACTCAAAGGTTACTTTTTCGAAATTTGACGGTAATTCTAACGGTCAGAATCGTTTCCTCAGCTCATTATCGTTATTTTTCGATAGCTATATAATTTTTACTTGCTCACGTACGGTAGTAATAGGCGAGAACAGACCCGGATGACAAAGTGACTTTTTCACGCGCCGAAAAGTAGCATTTTGTCGAGCAATTTTTAAAAAATCGAAACTTTCGAACGAAAAGGGATAAAGAAAAAAAAGAAAGACGTTATCTTTGAGTCCGACGTCGGGGCTTTCTCACGCAAAAATCTTCAGGTTCGTAGCTCCTTTATCTTCGGAGGAGATCGAAAATGAACGTCGAACGGCACGAAAATCTACCAATTTTTCGACTTTACCGGCCATTTTCGATCGCGTTCGTTCCTCCTACCGCGACAAGTCTCGCTCCTCCGTAAAGCGCCGAGTTTCTAGTTTCCGAAACGGTATCGCTTTCCTTCCGAACGTTTCGCGAACCGGGAAGAAAACCGGAAAAACCGCGTCGACGTCGACCGTTCGGATCCTGACTCGAAATCTAGATCCTACCTAAAACAAAAGATCTTCGCTTAGTATCGTCGATTTATTGGTGCTATTACACAGAAATGTGTTCGCACGAAACGAACACATAAAAGAGTAAATAAAAACAACAAACAATACGTAAATAAGACAAGCATGAAACACAAAGTGGCTATAAAAGGTAAAGAGTTAATAAAATCATGTTAAAATTTAAACAAAGTTGGTTAAATAATTATAAAAGGGATTAATTACAATAAAAATTATGCCAGGCGGGAAAAATTGGAGTTAAGGAAGTCTTCTACGTCAAAAGAAGCTTCAGATAGTAGGAAGCATTTCATAGTTTTGCCAAATTGTTCGACATCCGGAGATAGGTTGTAGAATTTTAATCCGTGGTAGTTTACACCACTTCTAGTTTTGGAAAGACGATAACGACTTGGATACAAATGTTCTTTGTTTCTCGTGTTGTAATTATGACTATTTTGATGCATTGCGTAATTATGAGAGTGACTTTTAACATGCATGAGGCAAGCAGAGATGTATAAACAAGCCATGTCATGATATTAAATTTAGTGAATTCATTCCCGCAAGGATCCCTGTACCCCAAATTTGACATGTATTCAACACATCTCTGTAGGCCAAAAACTCCCGGCATGAGTGGAGAATGACCCCATGCCAGAATGGCGTAAGTCATACATGATAACTGGTGAGCAGTGTGTTCTGAGGCACTGAATGTCTCAGATTACGTATCGGATAAATAGGTTTCGTCCAAACACAACGAAGAATCAACGTACACCCCGAGAAACTTTATTGTACTTGCGTTGTCATTATATAAGTATGTCATTGATGTATAACAAGAACAACAACGGTCCAAGCACAGATCCTTGAGGATCTCCATGCAAATTTGTGGCGTCAGTAGATCTGCGATTTTCTATTCCACAAACTGCTGTTTTACAGACAAGTAAGACTTGATAAGCTGCACACTGGATGGAGTCATCGAATAAATAAGAAGCTTTGACAGAAGTATGTCATTCTGCATAGAATCAAATGCCTTAGTTAGATCGAAGTCAGCCTTCACGTACAATTTATTCTCAAAACTTTCGTTAGCTATTTCGGTTAAACTGACAAGCATTTAATTATTCGTTTGACTCTAGATGACTACTCGCTTGATTCTTGAGGATGATCTCGAATGTTTTAGCAAAGTATGGTATAATTGATATGGGGCGATGGATGAAAGTTCGTCGAGATCCCTTTTTGAAAATTCGTTATCACTTTAGGGATGTAGCGAATATGCTTGATCTTAAACAAATATTAATAATACCCATGTCAAGCCGAGAATCCACCTCAAAACCAGTCGCATCTCTTTAGAATGGGTACGACTGTAAGTTTGACATCTGGAGCGCTGCTAACCAAAGTCGCAAGGTATAGAACATATAATTACTCTTTCAAAAGGTCTTCTGCGAATGTGTTTAATAATCGTTTCAATCTCGGAACCGTACAATAAAAATTTCATAACTTGATATGAATTTCAATCACGCACCACGTATGCGGCGATTCAAGCCGCAGGACCAGAATAAATTGAACGTACCAAAAACGACCTTGCGTCTAAGTGGCGGCACTTGACATTTAACTTTTTTCATAACTAGCCCACCCAAACAAATTTAGAAATAATAGATTCGTTTAGGCTGTTAGGACACGTATACTTACGTAGAATGTATGATTGTGATATATCGCGCTGTAACGAGGCAATGTCGTCCGGGATGCGCTAGATTTTTTTCTTTTACTTCACACGACACCGGCGGGGACGTATTGTTATCGCGAAAATGGTTTTTTTTTTGATGTATATACACCTAAGTTTCCACAATTTGAATGCGACAGAGCTGCTCTATGCACTGGAGGGTTCAGAATTCAAAACTGTGAAAGAATATAAACCCAACCCATTTTGCCCAAAAACATGTACTACTGGCCGGTTTATGCATTCCTCTTTCACGTTTAGAGCGTATTCAAGATTTCTTGTTATGAGGTAGTAAACATCTAAAGTCATAAATACGATAGAGAGATACAAATTAACGTAGTTTTGTGGCAAGTCGGCAAAGAAACCTCGACGCATCCAGATCTCCCCAGCCAAGGCTCCGGCGCAATTCTCTAACGCATTACACCGAGCAAAGACATATTAATCTCCCTGTCGCAGTTCCGTACCACGAATGAATAATTAATAATGTTCTTCTTGCTGCCGGCTTGGCTTACATTTCATCCCTCTTCCGACCAGTGGCGTAGACGCAGCAATGCCTACGGGTTTTGTGATGCAATGCTCTAGAGAGGGTGGGTAGCCACGTGGTGTTAGATACTAATTCAATTCTTTGAAGCCATATTGTACGTCACACGCTATCTCGTATAATTGACCATGATTTTTTTTATACTGACAGATTTTTGTTTTTTTTAATCAAAAGTTTTATTTAAATACCGAATTTCCCCAAAAAAAAAAACACTTAATATATCCATATTCCCCACCCATTTGATATCGGTGCAATCTAGAAATGTCTTCTATGCCCTACCGAAAATACCGACCATCTGGCAACATTGCTAAACCAGCCACATAGCCGATGACAGCAGTAAGCGACAGTGTTGCCAGGTCTGCTGAAATCTTACCAGATCTGGTGATGTTATGAATAATCTAGTGAATGATGAAAAACTTTCTGAAAAATGGCATTTAAAAAAAACACTTGGTTTAAATCAAACAACCCTGGTTCATAAAGGATTATGTTCGTCACACGTTAGGAAAAAGCTGCGAACATGTATAACAAAGAAAAAATAAATGTAGGGTCAGCTGCCCAATACAATTAGTGCATATTCCCCACCCATTTGATATCGGTGCAATCTAGAAATGTCTTCTATGCCCTACCGAAAATATCGACCATCTGGCAACATTACCAAACCAGCGACATAACCGATGATAGCAGTAAGCGACAGTGTTGCCAGGTCTGCTGAAATCTTACCAGATCTGGTGATGTTATGAATAATCTGGTGAATGATGAAAAACTTTCTGAAAAATGGCATTTTTAAAAAAAAACACTTGGTTTAAATCAAACAACCCTGGTTCATAAAGGATTATGTTCGTCACAAGTTAGGAAAAAGCTGCGAACATGTATAACAAAGAAAAAATAAATGGAGGGTCAGCTGCCCAATACAATTAGTCCAAATTTCCCACCCATTTGATATCGGTGCAATCTAGTAATGTCTTCTATGCCCTACCGAAAATACCGACTATCTGGCAACATTGCTAAACCAGCCACATAGCCGATGACAGCAGTAAGCGACAGTGTTGCCAGGTCTGCTGAAATCTTACCAGATCTGGTGATTTTATGAATAATCTGGTGAATGATGAAAAACTTTCTGAAAAATGGCATTTAAAAAAAAACACTTGGTTTAAATCAAACAACCCTGGTTCATAAAGGATTATGTTCGTCACAAGTTAGGAAAAAGCTGCGAACATGTATAACAAAGAAAAAATAAATGGAGCGCCAGCTGCCCAATACATAATTAGTACATATTCCCTACCCGTTTGATATCGGTGCAATCTAGAAATGTCTTCTATGCCCTACCGAAAATATCGACCATCTGGCAACATTACTAAACCAGCGACATAACCGATGACAGCAGTAAGCGACAGTGTTGCCAGGTCTGCTGAAATCTTACCAGATCTGGTGATTTTATGCATAATCTGGTGAAAAACTTTCTGAAAAATGGCATTTTTAAAATTTCATCGGTTTTCAGTATTTTTAACAATCTTTCAGCTACCAAAAACTCAAAAAATTACTAAATTTCCGAACCGATACCGCGTTTCGCGATTTAAACTGATACAGTTATTTTGAGCCTTTTTAAAATTTGCACGATAAAAAAAACGTAAGTAATTAATATGGTAGATATCATATACCTGACTTTTTTTATTTTAGATTAGTAATTTAAGAGACCAAACAGTCTGCGTGCCAGTCAAGAATCTGCAGTTCTATATACGTATTTCAGATTCGTCTGCAGTCTATCTCCACTAACATATTGATATGTTTTTCTTTAATTCCTCAACAAAACATTTTTGGTACTTACAACGCTTTTAAATTACCACTCTTCAATTATCATGAGACGGTTTTTGAAGCCTGTCGAAAAGCAAATAAATTCAAACACGGAACAGCCGATGAACTAGTGCTAGTTCATCATCACGTATGTCTGCATGTGCGTCTCAGGTTCCATCTACAAATGCATTTTTTTTCGATTACAACTAGTAATACATCTTAAAAAATTGACTTGTAAGAGTATAAATATACTTCCGTAAATATACCCTCTCTCTACAACCGCCAATCTCTATTTTTGATTGCCTGAACCGATTTTAAAAAATGCAAATCTTTTTCGTGCTTGACAAGTATTAGATAGACAGAGAATGATGTCGCCTTACACACAAAAACAATATAAACTCATTTTCGATTTTTTTCGCGATTACTCTATACGTCCTACGAATATCCAAGTCCACTTAAAAATAGAATGGTTGTCGCAAACTCCCACGTTAAAGGTAAATAAGTTTGCCATGTTATCAACTGTATAAAGTGCTTCACAGATTTCACATAATCAGTGACTGATCCGCATCTTTATACATTTCTATATGGCACACTTACGTTTGCTATTCATATTGCACAGGCTACCAACACTACACCACATTTAAAAGAGGACAGTGTCGTTTTACAGTGCTTTTGCATTAACACATTTCCGTCTGTATTCAAAAATTAGCTCTTAGTCCTTAATAAAATAACCAGTCAAAATTTCATATTTCTCCATTCTTAGAGGATTCGAAGATTATCGGAAAGACAGAGAGACAGGCAGGGAGACTTATTTTTTAATTACAATTTGCAAATGAAAATATTTTACCCGAATTTTCCCCACCAATTATACTGTAAACCTATTTTTTATTTCTGCCTTATGTAAAATTGTTGAGTAATCTATCGCTGTATTGCGAACACCAAAACTAAGTAAAGTAAACGGACAGACAAAGATAAACCAGCGAGATATCTTAGTATAGTAAAATAACAAAATTGATGACAGTAGCGAAACTCATCGTACGCCACTGCTATTACGCGGAGGTCTTCGAAAATGCGGCGTTTCTTTGTGAAATGTCGGTAAACGTCGCTGTAATCAAAAGGTACAGCGTCAAGGCAGTGGCGCCCGATGACTTCTGCTACTGTCATCGATTCTGGCATTTGACTATAGTAGCTATGGAGGGTAAGGCAACTAGAAAATACCCCAAATTTAAAAGCCGTCGCGAGCGCAATATCGTCTCTCTCTCTCTTCATGCCTTTCTCTCTCTCTCTCTCTCTCTCTCTATGCCTCTCTCTATCTTTCTATGCCTCTCTCTATCTCTCTATGCCTCTCTCTATCTCCCTATGCCTCGCTCTCTCTCTCCTCTCTCTCTCTCTCTATGCCTCTCTCTCTCTCTATGCCTCTCTCTCTCTATGCCTCTCTCTCTCTCTATGCATCTCTCTCTCTCTCTATGCCTCTCTCTCTCTCTCTCTATGCCTCTCTATCTCTCTCTCTATGCCTCTCTATCTCTCTCTCTATGCCTCTCTCTCTCTCTCTCTATGCCTCTCTCTCTCTCTATGCCTCTCTCTCTCCATGCCTCTCTCCCTCTCTCTCTCCATGCCTCTCTCCCTCTCTCTCTCCATGCCTCTCTCTCTCTCTCTCTCCATGCCTCTCTCTCTCTCTCTCTCTCTCTCTATGCCTCTCTCTCTCTATGCATCTCTCTCTCTCTCTCTCTATGCCTCTCTCTCTCTCTATGCCTCTCTCTCTCTCTATGCCTCTCTCTCTATGCCTCTCTCTCTCTCTATGCCTCTCTCTCTCTCTCCTATGCCTCCTCTCTCTCTCTCTCTCTCTCTCAGTGTGTTTTAGGCGTGGGAAACGAAGTAGTTTTTAAATCATCTAGAAATTCGGAAATACAGTATTACATCGGGAATGCACATCCATAGCAAGCTTTTCTTGTTACTGGCATAATTACATAAAAAGGATGAAGTTAATTATAGTAGACCTCATTACCAATAAAACAGCGTTATTATAATATGCAAAATATTACCATAAGATAGACAAGCTATTAGCTAATGAGTCAGACGATGGAGTTACATAAGCGGCTTATGCGAATTGGATTTTTTTGTCGTTGCCAATCCCAAGAGAAACGTCCAATAGACCAGGCTAACTAGCCAAAAAAAAAGCTGTGTTGCAGGGACCTTAAATGCCCGCAAAGAAAAAAAAATCTAACGGATTTAGATCCGGTGACCTGGGTGGCCATGGCTGTGGACCTGCGCACCCGATCCAGTTCGTTTTCTTCAAAAGTTGCATCCAAAAATTGGCGAGTTGGACGGTTTCTAGTAGTTCTTTCAAAATAAATTCCAAAAAATGACGATACTCTTGACCATTTAATCTCGGGGGTAAAAAAGGAGGTCCAATGAAATGATCACCAACAATACCAATTCAAACGTTCAACTGTTGTTGATAATTAACTTCTATAACCGCATGGGGATCTTCTTCAGCCCAGATATTATTATTGTGAAAGTTTATAATTGAATTTCGGGAAAAACACGCTTTATCTGTAAATGAAATACGGGTTAGAAAACGCTACCTGTTGCAAAGGCGAAATACAATAAACGACTCGTTGGGGAAAATCGGCAGGTATAACGCTTGGTCACGCTGTACGAGGGATGTCTTTTAAGTTTTGCATATAGAAACATAGTCGGCCGCGCGGATCGAACGTCAGTACTGAATCTTAACCTCACTCTTTAGTAAACTTAAATTCAAAGTTTCACAACAATACGTGCAGTCTTCTCACTACAGTGCAGTTTTAGATATGTGGGAAAAAATGCAAGAGATGATAATGTATTAAATGCTTAATTAGTTTGAATGTTTTATCATGTTATCGTCCCTGGGACATGCAAGTAATAAAGTGCATTTAATTTTTTATCTCGCAAACGAAGCGAGATATGAAACTCTAGATACAAAAAAGTTGTATTTATTGAATAAAAGACAGATATACCCATAATACCGCTGCTAAATTTAAAATAAATAGACTGCAAGTTCATCAAGATATTTCGGAAAAAACGATTTTTTTTAAAAGTTTGAAACCCTGTATCTGGACCTATGTTTATATATAATTTTCATCTTAAAATTGGAATCACCTCCTGAAGTTTGGCCAAGTACTTGAATAACAATCTGTAAAACGTTAATGTGCGAATAGTCCCTTGTCTCTCAAAGAAGTAACGTTTATTAAATTTCGCATTATCAATACAATATAATAATAATAATAATAATAATATTTATTTACTCTAAAATACAGAGAACATGAAACGAGTAAATAAATATAATATATCCCAAGGAGGACAACGCCTGTGCATGGATCATATGTATGTTGAATTGCAAAATATAATAAAATAGAAAGAAAAAAGAAATTATTGGTAAGAATGGTAGAGCATTTATTGTGTAATATTTGAGATTATTTTATTAATTTGATTTCTCCCAATCGTGTTAATAAATTTTTTTAATTTTTTTTTGAAGCCTAATGTATTGCGTAATTGTTTTAAATTATTTGGTAAATGTTCGTACAATTTTGGAGCTATATACAGGTGACATCGTTTCATTAGGGATTTGTTTGGTTTAGGAACATTTTTTGCGCGTAATTTATATCTGGTTTTATGATTATGTTTAATTATGTCGTGTTCACTAATAGTTTTCTGATAATGAGTGATGGTATGTAAGAAGTAAAGTTGTTTAGTATCATTAGTTGGGTATAATTTTGATTTGCCTAACATTAATTTTAAAATTCTTCTTTGAAGTACATCTAAATCGTTAAAGTATGTCGTGCATGCAGCACCCCACACTACTATACCATATGTTATGTGTGGCTCGACTAAAGCTTGATATATTATTCGTAGATAATATTCAGTTAATATACCAGTTAGAAATTTTATTTTATTTCTTTAGTATGTGAGAAATATGTACATCCCATCTCAAGTGGGGATCTAGATAAATTCCTAAATATTTTGTATCATTAACTCTATTGATTTTTATATTTTTATCATTTACCTTAAACCGAAGGTGGTTATATTTTGGTAGATGATTAGATAGTGATGAAAATGGTAAAAAATGAGTTTTAGTAAAGTTAATTGTTAATTTTCGGTTATTAAACCACTGAATAATTTTGCAAAGGTCATTTTGGATAATATCTTTTAAGTCGTTCCAATCCTTACCTTTATAGAGTATAGCAGTATCGTCTGCAAAACTGACTATTTTACCAGTACTGTTAATTTTGAATATATCGTTTAAATAAATATTGAATAACAGAGGACCCAAAATTGTACCTTGTGGAACACCACATTTAACAAACATTTCTTTACTATACGAGCTTAATAATTTTACTGATTGCGGTCTATTTGATAAATAATTTTCCATTAAAGTATACATCTTTCCACGAAAACCTATTCTTTCTAAGATTTCCAAAAGTATATTGTGGTTAACTGTGTCAAACGCTTTTTGTAAGTCCACAAATACGCATATCGATGGTACTTTTCCATCTATATTTTGGGTTATTTCATCTACCATACTTAATACCCCATCTGTTGTAGATTTGCCCGCTATAAAACCATATTGATTTAAATTTAGAATTTTGAATTTAATAAGAAAATTAATCATTTTATTAAGGAGTAATTTCTCAAAAACTTTAGCTAAACTTGATATAAGTGAAATAGGTAGATAGTTAGTGACGTCCGTATTATCATTAGATTTATAGATAGGTATGATGATTGCTGTCTTGAAAGCTGATGGAAATACTCCAGATTGGAAGGATTTGTTAATGATATAAGCAAGTGGTTCTGTTATTTGTTTGGCCAGTATCTTTAGATATTCAGCTCTAATTTCGTCAACTCCAGGGCTTTTTTTTATTTTTTAGAGTCATAATGGCATTGAAAACATCCTGATAGTCTACTTCAGTT